TTTTTTTTTTTTTTTTTTTTTTTTTTTTTTTTTTTTTTTTTTTTTGTTTTTTCTCTCGAAGAGGACCTTTTGACTCTCTTCGCCAGCGTTTTTTTTTTCTTCTTGCTCTCTCGACTGCGTGCGCTAAATTAGAATGCCGAGAGAGAAGAAAATAAAGGAGAAGGGAGCGGAGAAAAAAAATATGCGGTTGGAAGCTCTCTCTTTTCTTTCCTTTCTACCTCAGTTCGATGGAGCGGAGCGCTACTGTATCTCCCCTCCCCCGTCGCTGCAGCCCCTCTCTCTCTATATATATAATATAGCCTCGCTCTCTCGGTGGAGTCTATTTGCGGAGGAGAAATATTGTAATCCGGACACTTGTCGTTGTTGTCGAGGGTTTTTGCTCGGCTGCATTTGCCCACAGCCACGGAGAGAAAGGGCAATGCAAATGAATCATTGATTGCACTGCCGTTGCTTGGCTTATGCGACTTTGGTTCGGTTGATCATTTCGAAACTAAATGACGAACAATTCTTTATAAAGGGGAAAAAACAAACAACTTACCCCAGCAAAAGAAGAACCTGCCTTTTGCCTTTTTTTTCTGCCTTAATTGATACAGTCCGCCGATTACGCAAGAAACTTCGTGGACCAACTCATCGTCAAACAAATCCACACAACTTTTTTTTTTTTTTTTTTTTTCATCCACTGACCTTCCGGGGGCGGGGATGCCCTCATAGCGGCAGCTTTTAGTCTTTATTAACAAATCCATCGACGAAGAAGACACGATTTCAATGACAAAGCATTAATCTTTCAATTAAAACAAATAGTCATAATCAGAGACTTTCTCTACACACTACTTTTAGTAGTCAAATATTTATGGTGATGTCAGTAAGCAGTAAAAACGATGTATCTCAACCAAGAAGTAAATAGTTATTAAAAAAAAAAAAAGTTGGGGTCACCGAATGATTAAAGTTACATTACATGTGGTAACTTGCCTCGCTCACCTTCGTAGATCGTGTCACATTCATAGTGACTCTTTGAAGCCCCGCGCGATTCATCGCTCTCGACAAACAAAAGGAGACGCCGGAAATCGCCTTGATGGCAACGCCATGGATTGAAGTAGATAGGATATTAGCAAAAGTTGGCAAAGAGAGGGGAGGGAAGGGGGGATCGATGCATTAGAAACTGAATATGTGAATTCAAGATGAAATGCTAATGACACCGTCCGATACCTACGTGGTCTTACGTTAGCGCACGCGGAGGAAGGATAGATTTGCTTTCGGCAAATAGTGGTCGCATCTGTAAAAACAGAGTTGAATCCGTTGGCGTGGCCACCCACCGAGCTTATCTTATCCATTAACTCGACAAACGTTTACTTCCAACGAACGATCGCAAACGATGCCGAAAGCCAATAGTTGGCCGTGCATGGGAGCTTTTGTTGAGCTCGCACTGACGCACCGATCGAACGTACAATATGATACCCAATAACCCCAAAACCCCTTAAAATTAAAAACAACGATCCAAACTTACGTATGGGTTACACTATTAATTTTCACTTGATTAACAAACAACAAAGCAATACAAAGGGTTTGAAATCACATTGAAACCTCGGACGCTTTGAGTTTTCGACTATCATTGTCACTTTGTTCCGAAAACTGGGGTAAAAAAAACTAAGTAAGTATACGGCACAATTGTAACTGATTTTCTTTTTCAAGATTATACCATGTTGAATATAACAGTGGTAGCTATGGTATCGCTTGTGTAAATAATATATGTATACTCATGAATTGCATGGACTTTTGTTTTCACAGCTAGTGCACCGGAGACGCGCCAGTGTCCCTACCTCGGGAAATTCACTGTAACCGGCGTAAACCGAAACAACAACGACGAAGACGCAGGCAGGGCGGCAAAGGGCCGCGGTGCCGACAGACAGGCCGCGGGAGACCGGCATGGCCAAGAGCGAGGTAGAATCGAGTTCGACGTGGAAAAGCGTCGGGGCAGCGTCCGGTACTTTGTGCACGAGCAGCAGGGTCGCAGAGCTAGGTCCGAGGTAGCCGAGCAGCGGCGCAACCAGGACGATCCCGAGGAAGATCGGCTGATCGAGGAGGAGCTGCTGATGCTGCTGCGCCGTACCGGTGAGTCCCCGATATTATGTATATCCGCTCCTCATTTACAAATGAATGACGCGAATGCAACTTACGCGTAGATTCCGTGGAGGACCGGTCGCGTCGACACGCGTCGCCGGAATTGGAATTACCGAGCGGCAGAGGAGGACCGGAGGCGACACCGGAAAAACCCACGAACGAGAGGGACTTGCCTGCAGCGGAGCCACCCCGGAGGAGGCGCTCCCATTACGAATTCTCCAGGTTGCTCGGCTTTCGAGATCTGGTGCGCCTCGATCGACAACTGCCAGATGAGGAGGTCGACGACGACGACGACGAGGAGGAGGGTGATGATTATCTGGTGTACGACGAGGGCGACCGGAGGAGGAGAAGGAAAAAGCGGGACGGGGGACCCGAGCAGCCGACCGGCAGCTGCGACTCTGAGATAACGACGCTGACCGTCGGCTGCTCGACTGCCGATCGAATGGAGTTTCAGAGCGACTGCGTTGACGAGGAATTCGTCACAGGTACCTACATTAATTGTGTACATAATTATAAGCCCATCTTTCTCCCGTGTGTTGCATCATTTTTATAAATCGGAAGGTATAGGTAGGTATTATAAAATATATAGTCGTAATCGAATCCAGCAGGCATCAATTAATCTTGGAAGTGGTTTTTTCAGAGGGGCTGTGCAGTCATTAAAAAAAACTTCATAAGTCATTCCGCAAGTCTTTCAAAGATTTCAGAAGTCTCCAAAAGACTTCAGAGTGCGCAGCCCCTCGGGTGTTTATTGAGTATAGTTGTTACTCTTTGAATGTCAATTGAGTCAATTAGTGTTGCAGCCCTTGTGGCCAATAATCTAACTTCCATACGTGCCTCTATACTCGTATATACCCATCAATACTTATCGCGTCCCTTTTCGCGAAAAGAAGACAACATCAGGAGTACAGCGGCTAGCTGAACTATCCGGGTAATTGGAAATTCGAAGCTAATCAACGGATGTTCCGAATAACTCAAGTTGCGCGTGCCAGACCCGCCTCCATGGCTCCGTTATTAATACGCGATGCTTCGCCAACTCTTGCGAATATCATTCCGCCCTTCACCGCTGCACCATGGGTATATATGTATATATGGGGGACACACACACACACACATGCACACACATATGTACCGCTGTATACTTATTATGTCTGTTGTATGTACATAAATACATAAGCAGATATACCTCACTGTTCTCATAAACATTCATAAACAAGTGCGTGTGTGTGCGTGTGTGGTTATAAATGCATGATACTTGATCGCAGCTGCCATCGATTGCACCTTTCCGAATAATTCGCCTGCATCGACTGCGTTCCGGGAAAAACCTCAAGCGACAAACACGTCGATCGGAATCCTTATAGCAATTTACCCGATGATGAATCAATTCGTACCCATACCCAATAAATTATATACCGCGTATACGTAAGTCAAAAATCCCAATTTGGCTTGACCTCCGGTACATAACATCTCCCTCTGGCCGCCTTATCTTGATATATTATATATTGCGATTACATTACTCTTTCTGAATTTGCAGCTTACTCGTGCCACGGGCGCTGGTTCGATGCCGAGGGTACACAGTTTGTGATAGCGACGCCACTGTCGCGTCGCGGCAGCCAGTCATCATCGTCCACATGGAGCGGCCCCGATGGCTCGAGGGCCCAGCCCTACAGGAACAGTCGCAGGCTATGCTTCATGTACCGCGAGAACGGGGGTGTCGTCAGTCTCACGGCCAGCCCGATAGCCTGTCAGAGGGGCGTCCCGCTCCCACCGCCTCTCCTCGCCTTCAACGCGACGAGTATCGGTTCGTTCTCTATATAAGTATAAGTCGTTGTCATTCACTACGTGGATCAGGCTCAATTGTGTTTGCATTTTTCCCACATAATTATAATGTATAATGTTATTGTGATGCGTGACGACGATTGCCCTGATCTGCGGAAACACAATTTATGATGGTTTATCTGTTTGGTGGCCTTGAAGCAAAATCAAAAACTCCATCTTTATCGTGAAAAATGACTGCTCGTCATTTTAATATAATCATAGCTTGGAACAGTGACGAAAGAGAGTTTAATAGAGATGGCTGCACTAGAGTCTCGATTATTATAATCATACTAATAATAATAATAATAATAATAATAATAATAATAATCAAGATACTAAGGATAATAATAATGNGAAAATCAGTTAGAAAATTGCAAGCTGATTAATTTTATTACGCGCCTATATACTATATATATTAATTGTAATTCGACGCAAAGCAAGCAATAAGCAATAACCGAGCGAGCAGGGATTATTATTGTAATCATACGATTGTATTATAATGTATACGTCACTTGTACGTTTTGTACATTGTTCATTGTCGCACGGTGTATGGAGATGGAAAAATACATAACAAGCTCCGCCGGAACGATTATCTTTATTCTAAAAGAATGGGTCCGATGTGTATGCATGGATGGAGTGGTTGAATTTTCGATACATCATTGTTTCTTTTTTTCTTTATTTTTCAACAATTACAACAAAACTATTTGGATGTGCGAGAATTCAGTGATGGCAAAAGGCGCGATATTATGTATTACGTCGAATGCTGCAGAGAAAAATTGTATTATAGTAAGATAAGCATTAATTAAATTTGTACCTAATAATAAGCGTGTAGAAAGTGAATAACTATTGAAAGTTAAGTGATAAGTTTTATGAAACGAGACATACTCATTTGATAGAACCGAGCACAGGCATCATGAAGAAAAAATAAAATAAAATAAAAAAAGATAGAAAAAGAAAAAAAATTAATGAAATTCCATGTAAGTAATACAACGCTCTGTTTTCTCATCACGAGTAAGGTTCAATTATAATTAAATAGTTGAATACAAAGTAGAAAAAATATTATTGTCCAAATCTTTTTTTTTCTCTCTAAATACATATTTATTGAAATAATAATAATCATAAATGGTAATGATAACAATTATGGAAAATCGTGGTAATTTATATATGGACATTGCTTGTAACTTTTGATTATTCCTCGGCTGCCGAGCGGAGCTCATTTGAGACTAAAAATCAAACGGTGCTACCAGAAGTTTTGCAAAATCCGTACTTGTACCACGGACTTTTTATAATTATATGTATGGTTAAAAATTAGCTCTGACTTTGTCCACCCATGGGCTTTTTTGACCACCCGTATGGAAGTCGATTTATGCGGTGGTCAAATACAATAAGTAACAGAGAGACGCGCCACGGTTGGCTAATTGTTGCAGGCCAGTGCATGGACGCCGCGAGTAGTCTGGACAACGGCCCGTTTCGACTGATCCTGCCGGCGATGCTGCTACTGTTACTAGCCGCAACGAGGTGATTCTAAATCCGCGGACAGGGCCGACGTTTCATGGCTGCCCCCGATGTGCACGAGAGAGGACACCTCGGGCGCTGTCCGGGAGGAGGAATAACTGCTTGCGATGGTTATTACGCGCGGGTAAGTTGCACCAGCGGCTCTGAGGTCTTTATAACGTATTTTAACGTTGTAACGTGACAAAAGCAACGAACGAGCGCTAGGCAATAAGTATATATACGTCCGCATCCGAGCTCGGAGGTGTGTCATGTAACTATATAGGTATGGATAGATTAGCCGTATCGTCGTCTCACAGCCTGCTGGGGTGGCATGATAATTTAAAAAAAGGTTCGTACAGCAGTGCAGAGGAGGGCTTGTAAGAAAAAAAGAAAAAAGAAAATCGAGGTGAAATTGAAAAAAAGAAGAAACAAAACATGCAGGGTGATGGGGAAGAAGGGATGAGCTAGCAGAGCGAGAAAGTATAGAGGTGGGAACCTTGATTTATTGTGTGTGTATGTGTGTGTGTGCTTCGGGCCGAACTTGGAAGGAGGTAGAGAAGAAGCGATGAGTTATGCCCTTAATCTGCGGCTGCGAGTTTTCTTGCCTCCATCAGGCTGCTGAGACTCGAGGCGAATCTATATTATATATATATATATATATATATACACACCTATATGAGGCAAGTGCACGGGCGCGAGAGGAAATAGTACCTACGAGATAATCTCGTTACGATAACGATATTGGAAAAGTGATACCCAACCGATGATGCAGTACATTCGTGACGTATAAACGCAAGTCTAGGCCAGTCGTCCCTTTTTGGCCCCCTGTACGTTCTAATGGACACTTTGGAGAAAAAAACGTCGACGCGATACCTGCACCCCCCATTCGGCAATATTGATCCATCTTTGCTCGAAAAAAAGCGATGCGTCTTCCGCTCCTCTTGTCCACTCAATTTATGCAATTTCGCAAAGACAGGTGTCCCCCGTCCTTTGAAACTATAAGTAATTGGTTCCGGCGATGAAATTCGCGACACTATACGATCGATTTGCGACACCTTCCCTTTGCCTCGCTGCACTCCCGTTTTCTTTTTTTCTCATTTTCACGAAGCTTTTAACCAGCATTACTTGCCGAAAGGAAAACCAATAACTGGGTCACTGGCCCGTTGCAGCCCCACAGGCACGCGTGCGTACGTATAATACGCGATTCTAATCAAACTTGTTATCCCGCGTCTTCCAATAATTACGCTTTAAATATCTCCTCCTCGAGCCTTCGAGCCCCGCGGCACTTTGGGTTCCAACCAGTACCTAATTGCTCAAAACCGCACTCGCTGGTGGTAACTGCTGCTTACGGATCCCGATACCGCGAAGGGGGGTGGACGAAAAAAAAAAAAAAAAAAAAAAAACACGACTGTGCGAAACATTGTAATGGAAATCTATCGTCATCGGTCGGTTACCTATACAAGTTGAGACCCAACAACCATGTACCCCCGTCTTCCTCCTCCTGTGTACTCACCAATTACTTGGATGGGACGGGGGCAGTCAAAGGGCTCCGGAGCTTCAAAGTGTCCATTAGATTTTTGAGACGGGCTGGGATGAGAAAAAAACAGAGAGAGAGAGAGAGAGAGAACTAGCTCTCCCCCCTGTTTTCTTGCACCTCCGGACAATGAGCGCGATGTGTAAATTGCTGTGACTGTGATTAATTTAGAGCTGCAGCGTTAGGTAGGTACCTGTACTCCAGTATCGGACAGTACTTGGTCGTCTCGATTATTTTTTATCTGTCGCTGCGATCTACGCGTAATACCTAACAACAATAATAATAATATTATTATTATTATTATAGGCGTAAAGTAGGCACCGCCGGAATATTGAGAAAATCAGTTAGAAAATTGCAAGCTGACAAATTGGAGCNTAACCTATCCCTGTTTTTCCTCCAAAACTTCAAAAAATAACATTAATCCATGAAATTTAACAAAATTCTTTGACAATACCTAATTATCTGGTGATTCGAGTAATTATTTAACCAATAAATTTTATACCCCATCAATTCAATTGTTTATTTTTATCATTACGTTTTCGTTTTGTGGATGTTAAGCCCGATGTAACGAAATGTGTTTGAAGATTGCACTGCAAAAAAAAAGGCCGATCTATTGAATCGTTTTACAAAACTTGAACATTGTCGGCGGAAAATCCAGCTCGATGCCCAACAACTTTGAACATGCTGAATCGGATTTCTTCGACTCTGATGACATGGCAGCGAATTCAGGTTACACATGATTTTAAACACAGGTAAGTGGTACTTGTTACCGACGCGGCGGCATTTTGCAAAACAATGATTCGGTGACAAGTGTTGTGAGCGGGATTCGCAAAAAAGTTCCTTGTAAGTGATGGTAATTGCTTTTTGAGTGAAATCGTATTTACGAACCGAGAGGTTTACGAGAGGCCGTAACGAGGTTCGTAAAGAAGCCTTTTCGAACAAGTTTTGTATACTTACTAATATTTTTCCGCCTGAGAACCAAAATCAAGTGGCGAAGGTGCTATTTTGAGGTTAGAAGGCGGAAAAAATTATTATCATCTGCATTAACCCATGACTCACACATGTAAATGTTTTGCTCGTTTCTGAGAACGTTTTCCGATTTTCCGACTGCATGAAAACATGGAAAAGCCATGCTACTTGATTTGTAAAAAAGTACGATTAGCGATTACCGACGTGTAGGTGCATATATAATATAATAGTTTACAGCGTATATATATACATATATATACACATCAAAGCAAGTACAAAACAGCATGCAGCGAGCACTAAAAAAAGTAATTGTTAGAAGATTAAGTATCGACCGGCATTTTCAGCTCGATAATATAATTTTTTACGATGACTGATAGCTTGCAAGTGCACGCGCTACTCTTGTAAAACATTGTGCGCCTGATGGTTATATTTATCGGAGTATATGATTATTCACCCGGTCAGAACCGCGTATTGTGTTACTGTTTGGTACATTTGTTACGATACTTGTACCCGTGCTTATTGCATACGTGCGAGGATTGCAATAAGCGGGTGACTTGTAGTTTTTGTTTTTTTATTCATCATCTGTATACTTGGATATCAATAACCCAAGCGTATTGTACATAAAATGCATACCATGTATTCGCATATTAATATTCATAAAATATACGTATCTATGCGCATACGGAGTCAAGTGTAATTAAATTGCAAAATAGCGTTTATTTATTTCTTTTTATTGTTAGCACAGCATGGAATGTAAACTGGAATGAAAATAAAATGAAATAAAATGAAAATTTTCGAAGCATCTTACGCAATCGAGATTGGTTTGATAAATATTATAGGTATGCGCATGTGGTACTTGTTCAATAATAAAATTTTTTTTTTTTTCGAGATAAAATCCCACCGCATCGCAAAAAAGAATTGCATAAGTAGATGTACTTGGATCAAAAGGAATCAAAACATCATTGCCAGCTGTTATACCTGTAAGCATAAAGGAGTCCCTGCACCATCTAAACACATGATATATGCCAGTGCTCCTGCTCCCGTGCGCTTGTAGAGTAGTGGGAGGGGAGCGTGCGGGGAGGGGGGGGGGAGCTACCGCGGTAACGAGTGCGGAATAATTTATAAAAGTCGACCGGCTTGGCGACGCTCTGGTCATTACCGCGATTGTCGTGTCCGTGCGAGCAAGACTCCCGTTCCGAAGAATACGAAGAAGATAGTGAAATATTATTATTTGTTTTTTTTTTTTTTTTTTTCCTCATTCATACATTCATTCATTCATTAATATTGTCCAGTCATAAGAGACTCGCGATCTCACAAAACACAGAAAAATTTGGCACTTAAGTTTATTGAATTGTTATCTTTTTGTCAGTCTGTGAAGTGAATTATCAAGATCAAGGTCATTGTCGTGATATACCTGTATAGGGTTAAAGATAATTAGTTTGACGTGTACTTAATTCATACCGCATCTACAGGCTTCGTCAGCTGTGTGTTATCGGTATCATCCGAATCGGTACATCATATATTATTATTATTATTATTTATCATTGTTATTGTTACCATACATACACACTTGGGTTTTTTTTATTAATCACTCGAATGGTATGAAATATAAAAGTAACTTGGTAACATACCTACACAGAAAATTGAGTTCGTAACATCATCAATGTTGAAGTACTTAAGGCCAGACCGGAGAGGAATAGAAGAAGGGACCGCGGCAGTTGCGGTGGCAATAACATTCAAACCAAATAGACGTGGACCTACGCACCTGCAGCAAACTTCTGACTGACGCGGCTCAGTCTACAAAGATTTTTTTTTTCATTATTTTTGCAGACCCTTTTCTCTACTCCACCAGAAAAAATTGTCAGCTCAAGCCCGAAGTCACTCGATCAAAGAACAGGTGTGTGTATGTGTATGTATGTAAATGTCCGATGTGGGAGTGACACGAAAAAAAAAAAAAAAAAAAAAAAAAAAAAAAAAAAAAAAAAAAATGTAAAATAATGAAAAATAATGAAAAAATTTTTGTACGAAACGAAAAGAAGAATAAAAGATGGGTATTGCTCAAGAAAGCCAACATTACTGCTATTTTGGCCACATCGTACGTAACATGAAGCAATCGCTATTAGAGCATAATAATAATATAATATAGAAAAAAAAAGTCTTTACTTGACGCCCCTATTGTATAGAGCCAATAATAATTATGCATCATCTCCCAATGCTTTGTTTATATTCTCCCGGTTGTACGGCCGTGCGTATGGACCGATTATAAGATGTAGGGTAAGTGCTTCGTTGACCGACGTGCTCACTTGTTTGTCAGATTTTTTCTCATTATTGAATTCGTATGATTTTTTTTTTTTAACCTTCTCATATCGAGGCAAGGACTCGCGAATAACACAAGTATAACTTGCCACAATTAAAATAGTTTGATTATTAATGAGAAATAAACCTAAAAATAACTATGGGAGATACCGTGCCTGCTACGATCATTAACACCACCGTTTCTTCCAGCACTGATGAAACACGCGTACTTTACTCTTACAGCTAAAATATGTGAAAAGTATTCTAATGTAGTTGAGAAACGCGCGGGATTCATTTGAATATAGGTAATGAGATGAAAATGT